ATACACTCCTTAAAATGTGGATATTCTATGTTTGTGAATGAAATTTCTGGTGTTGGTATGGTTAGATTTAGAAAAACAGTGTTGATAGATGCTGTGATAGAAAAGGAGGAAGGCTTCTTTTTAAAGGACTAAATTGTTATTATTCTTTCTGCTAAGTACATAGTAAAGAGTCTGGGCATGGAAACTCATCTTGGTGGTTATAGAAAGCTATGGATTAATGAAATACTGATGTGAATGAAATATATTAAATATTGGACTGTTGTTTGGAAGTGGTTCTGAACATCATCTAGTCCAATTTTGTATAGAATTGTAATGTTTGACACAAATCTAAATTTATAATTTGACAGCTTAGAAAATTACTTTTTTTTCTGTGTCAGGAGTGACTTGAGAAACTGCAAGTTGCTTCTGGTGTGAGAGAATTAGCTGTCTGCAAGGACATTGCTCAGGGGATGCCTGGGTGTTTTTGATGTCTTACTTCTGAAAAACAATAATTTCTTAGTACTTACCCTTCCTCTTGTTAAAGGTAGTTTAAACTGTCACCATTAGTTATTTTTAAAAGGACATCTGATGTTTTCATGCCACTGGTCTTATTGCTGGCGAAGTGATGAAAAAGAGGGATATCATGCTAGGAAGAAGGATTTAAAAAAAACAACAACAACTGAAAGTCGTTTCTGGTGTGAGAAAATTGGCCGTCTGCAAGGACATTGCCCAGGGGATGCCCAGATGTTTTGATGTGTTACCATCCTTGTGGGAGGTTTCTCTCGTGTCCCCACATGAGGAGCTGGAGCTGATAGATGGAGCTCATCCACGCTCTTCCCAGATTCGAACCTACGACCTGTCGGTCTTCAGTCCTGCCGGCACAGGGGTTTAACTCACTGTGCCACCGGGGGCTCCTAAGTAGGATGAAACACACAATTGCATGTGGTTTGGATTTACACAGAAGGCATTGCAAGCTTAGTGGCTGAGTTGGTAGTGCCTGTTCTAAATAGGGTTCTCCCAAGTCCTGAAATTTCAGGCCTAAACCTGAGAACTAGAGATGATGTGTTGTGATGTTGTAGAGGACAGCCTAGGTGATGGCATCAAATCCCATACATTAAGCATGCACCACAATTGCACTGAGTATGCAATTCAAATAAAAAATGAGAGTATTATATATGTATATGTACATATAAAAATGAGAATACTGTATACAGTAGAGTCTTGCTTATCCAAAATAAATAGGCCAGCAGAACATTGGATAAGGAAAAACCTATTAGACGTCAAATTACGTTATTATTTTACAAATTAAGCACCAAAACATCACGTTTTACAACAAATCAACAGAAAAAGCAGTTCAATACATGGTAATGTTATGTAGTAATTACTGTATTTATGAATTTAGCACCAAAACATTGCAATGTATTGAAACAGCTGTGCATCCAGACGAGAGGAAGATTGCGTTGGATAATATAGAACGTTAGATAAGTGAAGGTTGGATAAGTGGGACTCTATTGTGTGTCTATATTAACATGTGTGCATGTATGTGCACGCACATTTTTCAAAACAATACTCTTGCTTTGAGACTGTACCTCCTTTGCTTTATGGATAAGAGAAGACAGTCCAGGCCTTAAGTTCTGGAAAGTCTAATTCTGAAAGAATGTGCTCTATATTCCTAGTACAGTGGGCCTGTCCATAGTGTCAATATCAATTGGAACCGGGGAGAAATGGGAAGGGAAATGGGAAAAACTTTTTTAAATCATGTCAGAAGCAATGTGAGACTATACTGCAAGTAGCTTCTGATGTGAGAGAATTGGCCATCTACAGAAATATTGCCCATAGGTTGCCCGGATGTGTTACTATCCTGCTGACAGGGTTTCCATGTCCCCGTAAGCTAGAGCTGACAGACAGGAGCTCACCCCATCTCACGGATTCAAACTGGCAACCTTCAGATCAGAACCCAGCCTTCAGGTGAGCAGTCGAGCTGGCACAAGAGTTTAACCCATTGTGCCATCACGGCTCCATGGGAAGAAATGATAGCCAAGGTATATCTCATTTGTTGTTTTCTAAACATTCTTGTGAACGAATGTAACCTATCCAAGGTAAATCTGTGGGTATGTTATATTCCTCTTGTATGATAAAAAAACAAAAACAAAACCCAGAGATCACTCTCCATTCAGTGAGTAGAAGGCTGAGGTGGGATGAAAGGGAAAGTTATCGATGGTGCAGACCATGCATGGGTTAGATCTTACAATTGTGTGGAGGCAGGTGAGCAGCTTGGACCTCTGCTAGTCTATTTTGACCCCAGTATAATTGAGTCCCTGTGTTGTGCCCCAATTGATCCCTGTGTTGGAGCAGTGATATGCCAAAAGTGAAGCCTTCTCAAAGTTGCTGGATGATCACTTCATGAACAACCTAAGAGTTGGTGGAAGATGTCATTACACGCAGTGAGGACACTATTGTACCTACACAGAGAGCAAAATGGAGCACTGCCCCCAGAAAGAGCTCTGCCCCTCCCCCACACACAATTACCATGCTTTTCTCTGTAGTCCCCAGATTTCTGGCATTGCAGAGATTGAGACATTAATAATAGTCCACATGTAGAACTCTTATATTTGCTATGTTCACATTTCCTTGGTGACTTTGGCTGCCATCTTGGGATGCCTAAACTGTATTTCTAAATATTTATCTGAAGTTCCTGCTATGTTGAAATAAAATGTTATGGTGTTATTCCATTTAAGATAGTTTGCTGTTTGCTCTTTTAAGGTTATGCCTATCTGCATTAAACCAATCCCATGAATGTGTACATACCACAAACTGTAACAGCATAAACTAAAACATCACTAATCATCCGTTTTTGGCATCTAAAGGAACCTTAGATTATTCTAGGAAGAAGGAATAGTTGCACCCAATTTCTAAATTGAGTATTTTCACATAAATGGTGTACCTGTGCTTTGAATGTCTTAGTATGTGGGTCATGCCATCAGTGCAGCATGAAAATTTTAAAATAACTCCAGAGCTCGGCAGCCCTTTTGTATGTTTAATCATTTATACAGTTACTCTGCTATGGCTTGGCCTTTGAGAGCAACAGACCTGGTGCTGCAACCTTGACATCCATCATTTTAACTTGCCCAACTCCTCTCATTGATTATAATGAAACTACTCTTGTGAGTAAGGAGTTTTGACTGTTGGGTTGACCTCAAGATCAAACCCGCATATTTTTAAACAGTTGTATTTGTTCAGATCCTTTCCCCCTCTTTTCTCTTTTTCTTTCACAACAAATAAATATTACAAATAATTGCACTGAATTCCCATTAGCTAATAACAAAGAACATAAAAGCAGATCAAGTATGATACAATTAATTTCCTCACCCAAAAGAATGATCTTTATAACTCTCTTTAGATTCTGGCTCTTGTGAGTTAAAGTCATTTATTTTCTGGCAAAAATAAATTTTTGGCCCAGTATCATCCTATACCATGGTGGCACAGCAGGTTAAACCACTAAGCTGCAGAACGTGCTGACCAGAACATCAGCGGTTCAAATCTGCAGTATGGGGTGAGCTCCCATTGTTCGCCCCCGCTTCTTTGAACCTAGGAGTTCAAAAACATGCAAATGTGAATATATCAATAGGTACCGCTTCAGCAGGAAGGTAATGGCTCTCCATGCAGTCATGCTGACCACATGACCTTGGAGGTGTCTACAGACAATGCCAGCTCATCGGCTTAGAAATGGAGATGTGCACCAACCCTCAGAGTTGGACACGACTGGACTTAATGTCAAGGGGAAACCTTTACCTTTTATCATCCTGTCCTATGCATTTTTCCTTTACACGCTGAAATTTTAAATGCAAGGGAAATATAATTATTTCTCTTGTGCCTTATTTGCAAAAAAGAAAACTTTCTTACTGTTTTCCTACTCTTGCTACATTTACCCTGCAGGTTACATTTTTTGTAATACTCTTTTGTATTTGGTGTTTATGTCTTTGCAATATTAACTAATGACAATGAAATTTATTATTTGGGTATTATTGTTTTGGCAATGTATTTTTTTTAGCTGTGACACAACATGTGAAAACTTGGCTGGTACTCTCCAATGTAAAACATTTCTTTTTAAACTCAGATACCATATCCACTTTAATAAGAAGCTTTACTTGCAATATTCAACTCAGTTATATCCACTTTACTATGCAACAGCTTACATGCAGTAAGCTCTGGAGTGTGTGTGCTGACTTTGTGTATGAAATATTTCTTACAAGACTATATAAAATATTCCTTATTAAACTGAGAAACCATGGCGCAATCCTTCTTTAAGTAAATGTATCAGAAGCCTAATTTGCTAAATTGATTTCAAGGTTTTGACTGACAAGTGTAAATAAGAAATGCTAGGAGGAAAACATTGCCATTTTGTGAAATACAAATATCAGATGCCTGCGGTCTGTCCTGGTGATGCTTGGCCCATTTTTGGAGGAAGAGAAAGACTGTTTTTGTTCCTGTTTCTCTCTGTGTCTGTACTATGGATGTGCATGCCTCAGCAGGGAGATGATGGTTCCTGAGTATGGCACATCGAAGATGTCAGATTCAGTTTCTGTTATCAAGTCTCTTTCTGTTGCTGCTGCTTTCATTATGACATCCTTAATGTGATATCTGTGTAATACATGACCGTACCAGATGGAAAGTGTCCTCTTCCAGGGTTCGGGTACCAATGTGAGACCAAATGACTATTGCAAACCTTAGCCAGTTGGCTTCCACAACTCTATCTGGGGGGAAATCATTTTTTAAACTGCAATATGGCAATATTGTGATGCGGGTCCTGAACTCAACAATGCTCTCTACACACAATGTATGATGTATATTACTCACTGGAGTTATTGTTGCACTTACAATAAGAAACTTCAATTGGTGGAGTTCTGTTCTCTTTCTTATTTAATCTAAGCTTACAATTGATTTAATATGTAACAAGATCACTGATTGCTATGAATATAAATTCCATCAATATTATTTGTTTTGTTGTCTTTCTTTTCCAGACCGCAGGCTTTCAGGAGATTCTGACAGAAATTGAAATTTTGGCCTTGATTGTGGGATGTTTATGCCATGACCTTGACCACAGGGGGACCAACAATGCCTTTCAAGCCAAGTATGCTTCTTAATTTTTATTAGTCTGTTTTCCTTATATATGAAGTGTGAAGGGCTACAGAAGGAAGCGTTCATTTCAAAATGCTGTACACAACAAAGTATACTTAGGCTTGCTTTTAAGGGAGACCATCCATCTTAACAATTCTTGATTACCCCACCACTACCCAAAAAGAGCTCCATAAATTTAAATTCCCTTTAAATCACTTTTTATTTCATGCTGTTAACTTGGCCTGCTCTGTATGAATAACTGTGTGGTATAAAATCAGGAAACAAAATCTGAATGTTCAGTTGGTTGGAGTTTCTCCTTCATCTACATATCTTCACATGCCAAAATGGAGATCATTAAATATTTGCCATCTGTCATTCTTGGGACTTTGGCTCTGAATATTCAGGCAGTATTAAGGGCATATAACCCATTGCATTTAAAAGAGAAGCAGGTGTTTCCACAAACAGGGTCCTTCTTGGCTTGTACACTCATATTCTTTTTACACAAAGCAGAATATTGGTCTTATCCCTGGTTAATGTAAAAGAGCAGTTGCTCTGCCCTCCCTCCCGTGAGAGGAACATAAAGGTCACTTTTCAGAGGACATTTATGTGTATACAGCTGTTCTGTTGTTGTATTTACCATTGACTGTATATTTTAAAGCATAAAAGTAGTGTTGGATGTAAACACAAGGAAACAAAATAATAATTTTACCATTAAGGGTAATTGTAAGAATGCTATGAAGTATGAATGAATACAATTTGTATTTTTTTTTTCTCAACCTGTATTCCACAGGTTTTGAGAACAACTAGCTTAGAGATTTTAGACTAGGGACATTTATTAGAAAGAGCCTTACTTGAAGATATACTGTATCTTGCTTTTACCTTAATAGCTTTCATTTTAATGCCAGTGACTCAGTACCAACACTTGTAGTGGAAAGGTTTAACCTTCCTAATGCTGAAACCCTTTAATCCAGTTCCTCATGTTGTGGTGATCACCAACCATAAAATTATTTTAGTTGCTACTCCATAACTGTAATTTTGCTACTGTTATGTAAATATCTGATATGCAGGATGTACTTTCAYTGTTACTTCTCTTTCTTTCTGGGATTTGGCCATGGAGGAGCCACTTCACCCTTTTCTAAGCCCTGCCCTCCCCCACGTCCCCTCCCTAGGCCCCCGTCTCTCACCTTCTCCCCTCCACCACCTTCTCCTCCTCCTCCTCCTCCTCCTCCTCCTCCTCCTCCTTCCTCATGACTCCATTGCTCCCATCTCTTCCTCCTAAAATGGCAGAGGAGAAGAGCGGACAGGGTTGAGTTACATCACCACCTCCCTCCAGAGGAGAAGAGGCCTCTGAGAAGTGAAGGGGGCGGGGAAAGGTTAGCAGTGTCTTGGTTCCTAAAGCCATTGGAAAATTTCTTTTCTGATGGTCTTAGGTAACCCCTGTGAAAGGGCTGTTCAACCCTCAAAGTGGTCGCAACCCACATGTTGAGAACTGCTGGTTGAAAGGAAGATTTAATCTGGTGTGGACTAGTAGGTGGAGAACTGATAACGCAATGAAATGCTATACCAAATGCAGATTTGTAGTACAACCATCTACTCAGCCCCCTTCTACACTGCCCTATATCCCAGGATCTGATCCAAAATTATCTGCTTTAAACTGGATTATATGAGTCTCCACTGCCAGATAATCAGGGGTAAGAAGATAATTGGGAACAGATATAGGGGCAGTGTGGGAAGGGCCTCAGAAGGAAGCCCTCTGGTGTTCACTTACTGGGGCTTGCACCTAAGCAAGAGTGCACATAGTTGCTGCTTTTAAAAGCTATGTAAGTTCAGCATGCATAACAGTTGTCCAATCTGTATGGCCATCTCGGAATAGGTCCTCACCCTGCCATTTTGCAAATGTTGTACATGAAAGAGGTATATCAGTTCTGACATATTATATATTCATAAATTAAAACTCAAGTAACTTGGCTTTAAAAAAATAGAAACCTTTCAAGCCTGTTTTGTTTTTCTGATAGGATGATGATGTGATGATGGTGATGTTGATGTGTTTGTATGTGGGGATAGATAGATAGATGGATAGATAGCTTACAGAAAGAACTCAACAGCCTGTGGCCATGATTTCTTGTTTGCCCTTGTGCATGTGGAATGAAAACACCATATTTTTATCATGTCATAGAAATCGCAGAAGGGGCTGAAGAAAAAAGACATTGTGGCACAGCATGCTACATGCTTTGGTAACAGATGTTATCTTCTCCTTGACAGAGGCTGTGGTTTTATTCTCATGAGCTGATCCCTAAAATTGAGCCTAACGTTACCCTCCGATTTCTTGCTTTACTTTCCAAGTACTACAGTACAGCCTAATGAAAGATCAAGAAGCATGTGATTGAAAACAGCATCACATCACAGATCCTTGAAATTGCTCTGCTAAGTCAGCACCATACTGTTTCTCTGGAGAACGGTGTTTCCTAGTTGATGTTTTGTTGCCCCTGATTCTACTGCACCATGTTGATTAAAGATTTCTGTGGGTAGTTTTATAGTGAACCAAGGACAAGAGATGCTTCTTTTCTTTGCTTTGCTTTTTTCTTTTTTTCTTTTTTCTTTGTTTTTTTTTTTTTTTAATCTTGGGATATTCTTATACGGTTGGGTGCTGACTCTCTTCAGCTTCAGCATGCTTCATCTCAGTTCCTGCAGTGGTTCTCAACCTGCGGGTCCCCAGGTGTTTTGGCCTACAACTCCCAGAAATCACAGCCAGTTTACCAGCTGTTAGGATTTCTGGGAGTTGAAGGCCAAAACATCTAGGGACCCAAAGGTTGAGAACCACTGATATAGATAATATGATGGTGACGTGCTGCATGGGGGAAGACAGGGACATAGGGAAGTCCTGCCAGCACTCCACTTAACCAGACCTTGGGCAGAACAACACATCCTGGAATGCTTACAGCAGCATTTCTCAACCCGGGGGTTGGGACCCCTGGAGGAGTCACCAGGGGGTGTCAGAGGGGTCGCCAAAGACCATCAGAAAGCACAGTATTTTCTGTTGGTCATGGGGGTTCTGTGTGCCAAATTTGGTTCAGTTCCATCATTGGTGGACTTCAGAATGCTCTTTGATTATAAGTGAACTATAAATCCCAGCAACTACAACCCCCAAGTGTCAAGGTCTGTTTTCCCCAAATTCCACCAGTGTTCACATTTAGGCACATTGAGTATTTGTGTCAAGTTCGGTCCAGATCCATCATTCTTTGAGTCCACAGTGCTCTTTGGATGTAGTTGAACAACAACTCCAAAACTCATCAAACCCTTCTAGCATTTTCTCATGGTCATGGGAGTTCTGTGTGCCCAGTTTGGATCAATCCCATCATTGATGGAGTTCAGAATGCTCTTTGATTGTAGGTTAACTATAAATCCCAGCAACCACAACTCCCAAATGACAAAATCAATCCCCCCAAACCCATCAGTATTTAAATTTAGGCATATTGGGTATTTGTGCAAAATTTGGTCCAGTGAATGAAAATATATCCTGCATACCAGATATTTACATTACGATTCATAACAATAGTAAAATTACATTTATGAAGTAGCAACGAAAATAATTTTATGGTTGGGGGTCACCACAACATGAGGAACTGTATTAAGGGGTCGTGGCATTAGGAAGGTTGAGAACCATTGGCTTACAGCATCACAGGATGAAGGGGGTTGGGGCAATCACTGAGACATGCAACAGAATTGCCTGATTTTTATAGAGAGCCCTGGCTGCCTTGAGTAGGCCAAAGAGACTATACAGTTCAAGTGAAAGTCCATTGATAAGGAATTGTATTACAAAAAGAGGATGAGAGTCAAGCCAATATTAGTTGTCTTTCTCTATTGTCTCTGCTTTACCTGCAATGGTTTTCTTTCCCTCTTCCCACATTTGCAGTGGACACAATCTGCCATGGTTGAACAGCATTTCTTTGACGATTCAAAACATCTCTGGAGCATATACTAAAAGAATGAGTGCTGATCCTTTTATCTCTCTTGCATTTTTCTTTTTTTAAGGATCGGATCTGCTTTGGCTCAGCTCTATGGGACTTCTGCTACTCTGGAGCACCATCATTTTAATCATGCTGTCATGATTATTCAGAGTGAGGTACAGAGCCAAAAGAATGTCTGGTCTCTTCATTTGTTAATATGAGTAACTTATAATGTTTCCCTACAATGAGTTCTTCATGATAGTAAAGAGAGAGAAGCCAGATTCCTGCAACAGAGGCACAGATATGATATAGAAGCTATGCCCCATCTTCTGCTCTCCAGTCAGTTGCCTGGAGCAACAGTTTTGCAGCATAAGTGAGTGAGGCACTGCAGGATGACTTGACCAGCCCTCTACTCACCATATCATCATCATCATCATCATCATCACTATCCTGCAGTGCTCTGCTCAGGTTTCAGGCACATTTACAATCATAGCAAAGACACCACAGTTATAAATATGAATAGGGAACAGTTACATTGTCCGAAATCTAACTTACATGTAGCTGACTAATAGCATGCCAGCTGCAGCTAAGAAAAGATAAAATTTTAATGACACCATCAGAATCTGACCATGCTGGTTGGTGCATTTTGGATCCAAAAGTGTAGTTATATCCAGTGTGTGGTGCAACTTTTCTAGTCATTTTTTTGTTAGCAACATTTCTGGATTAAAGCAAAAATGAAAGCAACAGGAGGGTGGGGAAAATTGTGCACAAAAGGAGAATTATCTTACTTTGAGTAAAATTCAGTGAATGAGCCAGGGCCATAGTATAATGAAAGCCTCATCTAAAACCACTCTGAAATAAAGAATTAAAGCATTTCTATTACTTGTTATAAGGGACTACAGTGGTGCAGCGGGTTAAGCTGCAGAAGTTGCTGACCGAAAGGTCGGTGGTTTGAATCCGTGGGATGGGGTGAGCTCCCATTGTTAGCCCCAGCTTTTTCCAACCTAGCAGTTCGAAAACATGCCAATGTGAGTAGATCAATAGGAACTGCATCAGTGGGAAGGTAAAGGTACTCCATGCAGTCTATGGACAATGCCAACTCTTTGACTTAAAAATGGAGATGAGCACCACCCCCCAGAGTCGGACTCAACTAGACTTAATGTCAGGGGGAAACCTTTACCTTTATTATTTGTTATATAGAAAATGAAATGATAGTGCCCTGCTGGCCCGTAGGGAAAGGATTCTGAATTCTAGATTTCTTTGACAGATATATTGCATTGAAACATTGTGAGATGTTTTTTAAGAAGTTTTGATCTTATTTTATTAGAATTGCAGTATTCTGGTACATTTAATGATGTACCAGCCTAATGCATCATAAATAAATACAGCTTCCTAGAATACAGCTTGGCATTTCCTTTGCCTTAGTTAACGTAAATCCTATGAGAATTTTTTCCCCACATTCATCTTAGCATTCATTGTAAATAAGATCAAGACACCAGAAGATGCAATTAACTTTATTTCAGATGGTAAACTGTTGGTTTGCATTCTTTCTCTAACTTCCTGCTTCCTTAGCACTAAACAACCTTTTATACTTTTTTTCATGTCCGGGGCGACCTGAGAAACTGCAAGTCGCTTCTGGTGTGAGAGAATTGGCCATCTGCAAGGACGTTGCTCAGGGGATGCCCAGATGTCTTACCATCCTGTGAGAGGCTTCTCTCATGTGTCCATATGGGGGAGCTGGGGCTGATAGATGGGAGCTCACCCCACTCCTAGGATTTGAACCACTGACCTTTTGGTCAGCAGTCCTGCTGGCACATTGCACCACCGGAGGCTTCTTTTCTCCTTTTATACTGAAAAGAAAGAAAAGAGCAAGGGAGAGGGAAAGGGTAATAATTTAAAAGAAACCATAAAAAAGAATGAAATTAATACCTTGTATTGTTGAAGGCTTTCATGGCTGGAATCACTGGGTTGTTGTAGGTTTTTTTTGGGCTATATGGCCATGTTCTAGAGGCTTTCTCCATCTGCATCTATGGCAAGCATCCTTAGAGGTAGTGAGGTGACCTCACTACCTCTGAGGATGCTTGCCATAGATGCAGGCGAAATGTCAGGAGAGAATGCCTCTAGAACATGGCCATATAGCCTGAAAAACACCTACAACAACCCAAATTAATACCTTGTTTTTCTGCTAAAAACAACACCAAACTGTGTGTTTTTTTACATTTCAATGTTGCTAATTTTTGCCATATATTTCAGATTGCTTTAAAAAGTTTGACTGGTCATTGTTTGGCTTATTTTAAGGTCAAGATTAGTCCTTCCCCATTCCCATTACAAAACAATTATTTGCATTTACCATGCAGAATTACAACTGTTTACCTGGGTCATAATTTTTTGAATTAGTCTCAGTCTTCACATATTCCTCTTGATTGAAAGATCCATACCTAAAAGGTAAACAAATAAAATAAAACTTTTAAGTTTATTGACAATCTTCTACTTTTTCCAATGAGCCACCAGTGAGGATTAAATATTTCATGGCACAATATGAGATGTTGCTGTTTGCTTCAATCTGCTAAAGGTAGAAGAGCATGGCAGCTAAGTACATGTTTCTGCAGGTGCCAAATTAAGATTTTTATTTTGGAATCCTTTCAATCTGAATTGCTATTGTTTCCGCAGGAAGAAATTGTAGGAACTTTTGAGCATGATGGGACTTAAAGCATGCCTTGCATTCAGATTTCTTTTTCTTTCCAGTACGATCTTTTGCATAATGATCCTAGCTTTTCCTTACTTATAGTACTAAAATGGTGCCAACTTGCACACAATATTATGTGCATGAAAGGATCTGGGATCCTTGTCCATGACTATGACCCTTTATGGGTAAGCATCCCAAAAGACTAGGCAAGATTAGATAAGCATAGTTACTCATCTGTTGCTCTTGGTTCATGCTGGCTTCAGATAGTCAAAGAGGAAAACTAAGCCCTGAAGAAATTTGGAATGCAATCCTTGGCAAATATATCAGGGAAATAGATTTCACTGAAATTGAACCTTACATCCATGTGCATGTTTAGCTTTGGATTGGCAGCCTAATGACAATCAAGTAAAGTATCCACCCAAGAGACGTGACTCTGTTACAGAATAAGCCAAAGATTTCAAAGTATCATTTCAAATGCGTTTGAGTTATGTTGTTCATCATTTGCTTGCGGCATATTTATGAGTGTAATATTTTTATTTTATTGCCCATAATTTTGGTCTGGATGAAAAATCCAGGAAAGCATTTTAATTGCATTGGCTGATGGAAATGTTTTTGTCATGATTTCACTATATGAATAAAAAAAGGATCTGTTGTAATGATGACACACTTTGCAAAGTTATTGGGAAACCTTTTTAAAAACCCCATATTGATTCTGAGCTATTTAGCTTTGCTATCTCTTTCATTATAGGGTCACAACATCTTTGCTAACTTGTCCTCCAAGGATTACAGTGACCTTATGCAGCTCCTGAAGAAGTCAATATTGGCAACAGACCTCACTCTCTATTTTGAGTAGGTATTGGCATTTTCTGAATTTGACAAATGAAAATCCGAAAGAGCTCCAACCCCTAATGACCTTTTAAATGCCAGTGAGGGCAGAGGGCACATAATACTAGAAGTTAGTATTTAATTATCATTTGAGTTATTTACTCTAGTGCTTCTGGCATTTTAGGTTTTGTGGAAGTTTTGCACACATTATATAGTTATTTTCTTTTTTTATTAAATACATGCTTAATTTGTCAGTTTGAAAACTTCCTATTAATAGAAGACGAACATTTCAATTGACTAGTTTTAATTGCTTCTCCCTGTTATGCTGTGCTAGTTCCATTTCCATTTTGAGGTGTGACAAATGTATATATGTGAAATGGCCGTTACAGACCACAGACAGACACCCACTTACTCTCCTGACCTAATACTATTACTAACAATGTTTTTCAACAGGTATAATTAAATGTGTTCATTCCCTTCACCACCAGCAATGTTCTTGTACATCTAACTTCCATTAACATATAGAAAATAGTCAGGTAGAGCAAGACCTGAAAGGGACCCTTGGCCACAAACATTAGCAACCTGTCCTCTTTATGGATCCTTTCTTTCTCAGTGGCTTTTAGTTGTGGGATCAGCAATGGGAAGCAGCAGTGGCTTGAATTAACACTGGGTAACAATATCTTAATTCCTCATAGTGTTCTGGAAGGATGCTATATCTGGGTAGGTTAGATGTTTGTAGAGCTACTGTGACCACAGCAGTTGACCAAGGCTAGTATGTGTTCTTGGGTGTAATTTTTCTTCACAGAGTGAAGCACTTCAAAAGTGGCTAGGATTGATGCTACCTGAGTGTTGGGTTACTACAGTGAACATTGGGGAGGACTTCTGTATCTTTAATGGTTATAGAAGAGGAAATTCCAGCAGTTGTTGTTAGTTACCTGGTTGAGTGATGAGTGATACCTGCTGAAATTCCCTCTTAAAATCATAGGAAGAAACCCCCAAGGGCCATCCACTCCAACTCCCTTCCAAATGAGAGCACACATCAAAGCACATCTGACAGATGGGTATCCAGTATCTAAAGTTAGCATATTCCACTGTCAAACAGCTTTTTCTGTCAAGAAGTTCTTCCTCAGCTGGATCTACACTGTCATATAATGCAGTTTTAGAATGTAGTTTAACCACATTCAGCTAGATTATATAGCAATGTGGACTCATATAATCTAGTTCCATGCTAATAATAATAATAATAATAATAATAATAATAATAATAATAATAATAATAATAATAATCTTTATACCCTGCCACCATCTCTTCAAGGGGACTTGGGGTGGCTTACATGAGGCTAAGCCCAGCAATACAGTAAAACAATATCTGCATTCTGAAACTACATTGTATGGCATTGTCGATTCAGTCCTAATATTCAGGTAGAATTTCTTTTCCTGCAGTTTAGTGCTATTATTCTATGCCCAAGTCTAGTCTTTAGAGCAGCAGAAAACAAGCCTGCTCCGTCCTCAGTGTGATACCCTTTCAAATATTTACACAAAGGTCTGTCATGTCAGGTCTTAACTTTCTATTTATACAGCCATTAAAGATAGAAGTGGCCTTTCTAGTTTTCACTCAGAGAGTAACCAAGTGATGACTATGTTACATGAAACTGGAACACAGGGTCTGGAGTGGTTATAAACTTAGATTTGTTTCTCAGGTCAGAAGCAAATTGGGAATATAGTTATAATGTATAAAAAACCACAAAAAAGTTAAAAACTTGGTATTATGCTAAATTTCCTTTGACCAGAAGCTGGGCACTTGGAATGCCTCTGGTGTGGCTATAAGGAGGCCCTCTATGTGCATGGGGCAGAGCTCAGACTGCATTGGAGAAGAGCAATCTGTGGTTTGCTCTTCTCCACACTCGCATGTTGTGGACTCCACTTTGTAGCCCAATTTCTTAAGATTGGTTCTGCATTTTGTGGTGCCAGAGCGCAGTCTGTTCAGTGCCTTCCAAGTCGCCCACTCTTCTATGTGCCCAGGAGGGAGTTTCTTATCCGGCACAGCCACTGATTGAGGTTCCAGGTTTTAACCTGCCACTTTTGGACTCTCACTTGCTAAAGTGTTCCTGCGAGTATCTCTGTAGGTCTTAAGAAGCTGTTTTTCATTTAAGCCATTGGCATAAACGTAGATGATTTTCAGAGACATATGAAGTCAGAATATGTGCCATGACTCCTAGGCTTGAGTTAACTAAATGAGACCTCCATATTTAGAGACGGTATGACACAAAATCTTGAGGATTAGAAAGTAATTGGGGTGGGTCAGAGTCTTTAACCTTTCTAACCTGTTTACTGTCTTTTTCAGAGGCAGATGAGTGGTCACTTTGGGAAAGAAAGGGTGTTGGACTAGCTTATCTGAACCTGTATCATAATTTATCACAAAGAAGGGTTCTTCTTTGCCATCAGAATGTGATAAATTATGATGCAGCCATCCTCTCGCAACATTCCTGTTAATATGTCTATGATTTCTTTAGTCTCTGACCTTTTCTATTTGTGCCTTTGAAGCCTAACATTTACACGCAAAGGTACCACGCAGATGCATATTGGGTTTTGGCAGCAACTGCGTGGAATTGAAATGAGTGCCGGTGAACCTGCCTGCATTTTACGATATAACACATTGCTCCTGGTGGGCGTGAGAAGGTCACATTTTGGTCACCGCTGAAGATTTTATTTCCTTGTTAATTGTTATATATTGCTAAAAGAAAGCCAAACAATAGGGAAGGGGAATTTTTTTTGAAAGTGATGCTCTTTTCTGGAGAAATGTATATTTGGTGGCAGTTTTTAAAAATTACGATTTAAATGAAACAAGGAGCCACTCACAAAAGCACCTTGTGTAGTGCTGACGCAATGCGGAGTTGCCTGCGAACAGTTAAAGATAAGATTGATTTAAAGCCTGTGTGCCAGCTAGTCTGGGCCGTTAAAATTGTCATCACTGCAGTACTTATTCCCAGAGGGGTTGTTAGGCCATCATGCCATGAATCTGCATGAGAGAAATGAATTTTCCTTTCTGCCTGTGTGACTTTGCATTGTATTAGAAGCTTCCTGTAACATGCAAGTATTTCGGTGCTCTGCATAAAGCAAAATGTGTGTTATCTGAAGCATCCCTGTTTAATTCAGAAGCTTTATATTAAATAATCTGAAAAATCCATTATCAGTACGAGAGGAGAAATAACAAGTCGGTCTTAATGCCCCCCAAATGAACTTAGAGAGTCATTTGCCTCTGTTATAGGCTACACTGATGACACACACATGCTCCATGGCATATACCTCCCTAGGTGGATTACCCACGCAGGTGGAAGTTAAGCAAAGGCATTTCAGGGAACAGTGTCACAGATTCTGACAAAACAGAAAACATACAAAATAAACCACAAACCTACTTTCAGAATCCTCTCTTGAAAGTTCTCAGAATTATTATTATTTATTTATTGTTATTATTTCGGACATTTGTATCCTGTCCTATCTCGACCTCCGCAGAGGGACTCAGGGCAACTAACAATCAGCAAACCATGGTGCCCACAACCAAAGCATAAAAATACAATTTAAATAAAACAATATAAAACAGTATAAAGACAGTATAAAAACATTAAAATAGTCAAGCAGTCACCGATTTAAGTCATCCCATGGAAGTCATCCCATGGAGGCCAGTCACTAGTGGAAATTACACTCTTGTGCCTCTTTCATTACACTGTAGGAAATGGGCTAGGGGCAGCTGACTTCTGTGATGTAGCTCCCCAATGATGTTCTTCAGCATGGTCCCACTGCATATGTTATGTTTACCATATGTTTGTGGTGGACATAATATTGGTCATAATATTCTACGGAAGGATCTCCATAACCACAGAACTCATACCCACAGTTTCACTTACCTTAACCCAGGGGGAAATGGTCTTCCTAGGCAATTCTATTGTATGCCTCGCCCAGAGGTCACTATAGAGTTTCATTGGAGCTGTAGTGGTGCAATGGGTTAAACCCTTGTGTCAGCTGGACTGCAGACCTGAAGGTCAGTGGTTCAAATCCATGAGATGGGGGTGAGCTCCTGTCTGTCAGCTCCAGCTTCCCATGTGGGGACATGAGAGAAACCTCCCACAGAATGGTAAAACATCCAGGCATCCCCTGGGCAACATCCTTGCAGATGGCCAATTCTCTCACACCAGAAGCAACTTGCAGTTTCTCAAGCTTCTTCTGACACACACACACAAATACTGGATAGATTTCTATATTTTCAGCAATATGGCAATCTCAGTGCAAACCATAGGAAAGTCTTAATATTTTGTTCTCAATAAGCACCCATTTCTCAGAATATTTTGGGGGCACAATCTGCCTGGTTTGTTCCTAAAAGAACCATGTCTTTCCATTAGATGTCAATCTTCCTGACTGTAAATTGGGGGGAAAACTTACCACCCTTTACTTGCCAAGTAAATTGTATATCAAGGAATCTAAGATATTCTTATTTATGGTCTCATTTTCACTTGTATTTCTTTAAAGGAAATCAGGGTGGCATACATAGGGTTTATCCTCCCATCCATCTTGTAGATGAGAGACAAAAGCTGGCCAAAGATCATTCAATCAGGGATTTGAACCCTGATCACTGTAGCATAAGTTCAATGTTGGAAATAGCGATCCTCTTCAAGCCTCCACTAGATATTAGTTATGTATATAATTCAGATTGCTTACTGTATTGTATATGTGTGTATTGGTATGCAGTTTTCCTTAACTCTATGTTATGGGAGGAACTGCAGACCATGTGAGGACCATCTGGGACTCTTCAGATCTCAGACTCCATTTTGGACTGTACAGACATCATTAGACTCTCAGATTGTACAGACTCTATTAGACTCTCATAATAGAGAGATGCTTTAGACTTTGGTCTGTTAAGACTATAAGAAAGATGCCCTGTATTATCTGCACAGAGAAACTATTTTATTTATTTTATTTATTTCATCTACTTATACCCCGCCCTTCTCACCCCGGGGGGGACTCAGGGCGGCTTACAAAGGAGGCACAATTAGATGCCCAAATCACACAACAAACAATACAAAATATAACAGTTCAACAATTAAAATGAAACATCAATACCTATTAAAATCATAAAAACTATCTCATGTCAGAGTCCATATATCAGAGTCCATATATCCATTCCATTCCATTGTCCTTGTCTATCGATAGGTCCTTTGATCAGTTGTCAGCATGGCCAAAAGCTTGGTCCCACATCCAGGTCTTTAGTTTTTTCCTAAACGCTAGAAGGGAAGTCGTCGATCTGATCTCCCCGGGGAGTGAGTTCCACAGGTGGGGGGCCACCACTGAGAAGGCCCTGCTCCTCATCCCCGCCAGTTTCACTTGTGCCACTGGCGGGGTCGAGAGCAGGGCCTCCCCAGAAGATCTTAAACTTCGAGGTGGGATGTAGAGGGAGATCCGTTCGGACAGATACACTGGGCCGGAACCGTATAGGGTTTTGTAGGTCAAAACCAGCACTTTGAATTGTGCTCGGAACTGGATCGGCAGCCAGTGGAGCTGACGCAACAGGGGGGTGGTGTGCTCCCTGTATGCCGCTCCGGTGAGCAATCTGGCTGCTTCTCGCTGGACTAGTTGAAGTTTCCGAGCAGTCTTCAAAGGCAACCCCACGTAGAGTGCGTTGCAGTAATCCAACTACATCAAATCCTACCTGAAACTGGATTGATAAGCAATATATCTGTATGCTGAATACATGAAGTTTGTGAGTAAACCAGATACGTTATTTTAACAAAGTCTACTTTAAAGCATGATTTATTTTAAACCAAGATGTTTTAAAGGAGAATAGATGTTTTGGGGCATTGCAAAGAACACTTCTGAAACTGATGTTTTTTGTGCATTGGCATATCTTTGTTTCTAACAGTTCAAAGAGATATCTAGGTATATCAGTCTAACAGCTGAGAAACTTAATTGCCTTGCATGAATGCTAATGGATAACTACCACTAAGGAGAAGGTTAACTCAAGCAAGTTTTTAACTCTTCTTAGAAAGATCATATTTTACAAAAAGTTATGGTATCTAATAAGGTCATGCTTTTCCGAAAGATTCCTGGTTTTCCCAAATCATTATGAATGCCATTTTCCAAACAAGGCTCTTCAATACACCAAAATGCTTTCTGTAACTAGTACTTGGTACCTGACTGATTTTAAATAGGATACATTTGGTTCAACTTCAGGTAACTTTTCTAGTGGCAAGCAGTGAAAAAAGAAGACCATTTTGCAACCTAAAATTGATTGGCTGTGATTAATTAGCACAAGACCAAGACATAGGAAAGGCTGTGCCATTATCAGAAGCTGAAAACCCTACATATTTTTAAAAATTCTAACATCTATTAAAATACATTTCAACCTTCGTTTTAAAAAAACGTGATACGGTTCCATCATTTATTTCCTTGTTGTCAGTATATAATCAGGGAACTATGAAATTGATGGGCTGCCATAAAACTCATCCCGCAATTATATCTTTTTAATTTGAATAGTCTGGAGCAGAGGCAGGCTGGTCCCAAGGGGTACCCACATTCATTGGAATCTTGCTCATTATAGAGCGATGCAGGCCAATATACAGTACTTTCTGAACTTAACAACTTTGGAAAAGGACAATGTCTTCATTAAAATACTAGTGAAAAGTATTGCACCCAAGTCATAAAAATCTGTTTCCTTCCATTGGTGTGTTTTGTTGTAGGAAGAGAGCTGAGTTTTTTGAACTTGTCAACAAAGGTGACTACAACTGGAACATTAAATCTCAGCGAGAGATATTCCGGTAAGTGAGATCTATCTCTTATTTGAAGCAGATTTAATAATGCTAGGAAGGAATTGGGACTTTAACACAAGATCTTCTTCCTTACAGTTGGTGTGGAAGAAAGTAAATGTTGCTTCCTTTCAATCCTGACTACAATCAAAGCAAACAATCCATTTATTTGTATCTGTACGATTTGTAAACGCAAGCATTTTTTAAATTCACTTCAGTATAAACTGCAGTTTATTGAAGGAAAAAAGTACAAAAAGTCAGGTTTTACAAACTATATGGCACATCCCATACAGACATGTACATTTGCTAAAAATGTATCTTTTTGTACATGTATCCTACTGCAGGCTTGGCACAGACAACACAATAGAAGCCATGTAAAATACTTTAAATCAGTGCAAATTATAAAGGCATTAATGCAGCTTTTAATGGCCTCTGCACATAATTTTTCTTACTCTGTGCAGATTATGGACATTTTTTTTTAAAAAAAGAAACCCATACTTTCTTGGCCTGTCTTTGCAGAAGCACATAGGGAAAATTAGTCAAGAAGCCATTAGATGAGGATGAATATTTTTGAAGTATTCTTTCAAACCCTCTTTAGGCCACGCAGTAGCTTCAAGCCAGCAAATTCAGTGCTGGCATTTCGGTCACTCCTGCTGCAGTTTTCTCTAGCATGGCAGATATATTCTGTATCAGGTTTCAAGGGGGGCATCCACACAGCCATACAACCCAGAATACCAAGGCAGAAAATCCCACAGTATTTGCTTTGAACTGGGTTCTCTGATCCACACTGCCATATAACCCAGTTCAAAGCAGATAATGTGGAATATTATTCAGCTGGGTGGAAGGGGCCTTGGACATGTGCGGGCTGACATTGAGCACTGGCTTAGTCGAAATAGGCAGTTGCAATGTTCCCTAATTTGAGATCTTCAAGTAATGTCTGCATTTGTTGAGAATGCTGTGTTTGCTGTCGCGATTTCCATCATTATTCTGAGCTCCTGCTAGATGTTCCTGGTACGAATGGCAGGAATGCATACATTCTTAATATGATATAGTACTTGGGAAGTTTATTTTTTAAATGGCAGCAGTCGGATAGTGGCCTGGAATCAAGTTCTAAATGTTACTTAATTTTCACTCTCAAATTTCCCTGTCTCACTGTCCCAAAACCTATTTCTATTGTTCCTTCTCATACAGAGACCTCATTTACATCACCCACTGCTGGTGAAAGTGACAAGAAATATATCACCAACCATTGCCATTCTTTGATCATTTGTCCCAATTCCGAGTGCTGAAGGAAGATCCAACTATTTCCTGGCTATTGTGAAAGGACTCTCCCTTGTAAATGTAAAACATGCTATATCAGTAAATTGCAACAGTGACTGGTGGATTACCAGCCACTGAGTTGTGTAAATTCATTCTGACCTTCATTCCCAACCTCTAAGGAGGTGTCCCACAAATAGGTTCAGCATTTAGACAGATCCTTTAAACTTCAAACTAAAACCCAGAGCACTCACCACTTTACTAATGTGGAAGGCACCAGCCAATACTCCTAACTAGGTATACCTTGAAAAGAGCATCCAGAACAATAGGAGCAGTGCTGCTTGCTGTCTGGCACAAAAGGGTAATGACACATAGAAATCAAACTAGCTTGCATTAGCTGCAAATGGCTGGCATCCTATTGGGACAAATACCTGTAAGTTTCCTTTTTTTAGGGTGTTGCACGAGTTGGTATTCCTTTCATCTCTCTGCAGTACGCAAACCTCCCTCTTAACGAATAGCATCTGATGTTCTGCATGGCTTTCCATTTTGTGAGAAATGTGCAAGATCGCGGAAGTGTCTATCTACATCCCCCTACCCAGATTGAAAAATGTTATCTGCACTAAGCTCTATCAGGATCCTCTAGAGGTCTGAGTGCTCCTGTAATCCTTTTGCATCTGGCTATGAGATGCTTCTGGGGTTCCACCTGCTGCATGGACATGTGGGTGAGTGGCAGGGAGTGACTACTTACTGTACAGAAGCTGCATAGTAAGTCAAGGGGGAGTGGTGTATAGGTCAGCCTAGCATTGGTCCACATAGAGATCAACTGTTCTTCTTTGAGCCATACAAGCCAGCAAGTAGTGTAAATCAAAGCCATGTAAGTGAGCCATACACAGGGCTTCAGGCAAAACCATTATGGTCAACTTTTTCACTGCTTAAGGATGATGCTATTTTCAGTGGAAAAGCTGCAAGGGGAAGATGTAATCTTTCTCCACCCTTTGCTTTTCTTCTGCAACACTCCAACACGCACACACACACCACTGTTGTTTCTCTCATAGGGTTCAAGACAGACAGATTTCTGTAATTCTGGGAACAGACATGGGTGAGGTGGAGAGTTACAGTAGAAAAGCAGAAGTGAGGAGAACTGCAGAAAGTGTGAAGCCCGCTCCTCCTGCCAGTTGTATCTTTATTGAAAACTGCTCCCTCTCAAAACTATTCTATTACTTGTGCATTGGAGTTGCAGTCACCAGAAGTCATCTGGCCACCCACAATGCCTGGTCTGCAAATGCACCTACACATCTTTCTTAATCGCACAGTCAAACAACATATCTCTGCAGGCCCGTAGCCAGGATTTCGTTTCGGGGGGAGGCTAAAAAAAATTCAGGGGGGGTTTCGGGGGGGCTGAGTTTCGGGGGGGGGGGCTGAGTCTGAGTGAAAGAGGGGCTAGCCTAGCAAACCTTTTGTATCATTACCCCAATACCCCCATGCATATGGGATATATTGAGTATGGTGATCAGATCATGATATTAATAAACATAACAGTTTAAATAATGCACCAGTAAGGCCTTTTCGCGAACCACCATGAGAATTTCGGGGGGGGCTGAAGCCCCCCAAGCCCCCCCCCCCTGGCTACATGCCTGTATCTATGGCTTCCAATGTGAACCCATAATTCCTAGGGACATATTTGTGTAGTTTACTATAGTCGCTTCATTCACCCCAAAATCCCCTTCAAATCCTTTTGAAGATACCAGACAAACACAGAAGTGTCATTAACCAAGAGCTATCCTGTGGGTAAACATAAAAAAACCAAGATTGTGCAACCAGACTGATTGATAACTGGCAAATAGAGGGAGAAAATGTGGAGGCAGTGACAGATTTTGTATTTCTAGACATGCAAATTACCTCAGATGCAGACTGCAGTCAGGAAATCAGAAGATACTTACTTCTTGGGAGGAGAGCAATGACCAGTCTCGATAAAATAGTGAAGAGTAGAAACATCACACTGGCAACAAAGATCTACATAGTTAAAGGAATGGTATTCTCCATAGCAACCTATGAATGCAAGAGCTGGACCATAAGGAAGACTGAGCGAAGGAAGAGCGATGCTTTTGAACTGTGGTTTTGGAAGAAAATTCTGAGAGTGCCTTGGACCACAAGAAGATCCAACGAGTCAATACTTCAGGAAATAAAGCCCAGCTTTTCATTGGAGGGAAGGATATTAGAGGCAAAGATGAAGTACTTTGGCCACATCATGAGAAGACAGGAAAGCTTAGAGAAGCTTGGGGAGAATGGAAGGAAAAAGGAAGAGGGGCCGACCAAGGGCAAGATGGATGGATGGTATCCTTGAAGTGACTGACTTGACCTTGAAGGAGCTAGGGGTGGCCACGGCAGACGGGGAACGCTGGCATGGGCTGGTCCATGAGGTCACAAAGAGTTGGAAGCAACTGAACAAATAAACAACAACATACTGTAGGTAGTGCACACATAGTCATTACATGAGAATTATTCTTAAATTGTTGTGCTTTAGCCAAATCCTGGCTCATTTAACATTTTTCTATATTGTTTCATTCATCCCAGATTTTTGAGCCAGGCCAGTATGTTTGCCATTTCTTTATATCTGTTGCCCTTGCTCTTCATTTGATTGTATATGCGTTGTGTAATGTACATAAACACTCTCTCCAGCTGAATATTTGCTTTCTCCCAACACTTATGAAATATCATTGTAGCCAGGTATTAAACTACAGTGAAGCAGTGTAGTCCTCACAGTAAATCATGATTTTTTTATTGCCGATGAACTGTAGAAACTGCTTCAACAGTGTCTGGAATGCCTCTCATGGTTATAGCTTTTCTTTTACCACAGTAGTCACTTATAAGTAGGCAAATAGATTAACACAATCTGTATTTATTATATAATAACTTATTTTCTTCCATCATGGCAAAATCCATCTGCCTTATATATTATAAATATGACTTTATTAGTCAAAGTGCAGCAAAATTAGTAGTTAGTCTGCAGTGATACATGTTTCTTTGGTCGCATTCAATGGATAGCATTGAAAATTCATTATCTGATTATCTATAATGCATTAGCCTTCCTATATCTAATGACATAAAACTGTGCTGACTATTGAAATTCCAAACTGCACAATTCTTTCTGTAAAGGAAGACGCTGCTAATTCCGACTGTTTCAAGCAGATTATGTATCCAGGGCGAATTTGTTTAGAAAAGCAACAAAGGTTTGCCCAGCTTGTATTGTTCATTTCTGTTTTTCAGATCAATGCTAATGACAGCCTGCGACCTTGGAGCTGCAACCAAACCGTGGGAGATTTCAAGACAGGCAAGTCATGATTAATGGCCGGGCAAGAAAGAGGAGGTACTGATGCAGCCGTTTTCCCAGGAACCTGACATGGAAGGGCCAGATCTGCCATCGATTTACAACAGGATTGCTGCTTTTAAAAATAGCACCGATTTTCTGCTCAGTGTAGTTTATTAGCCAGGAGGTTTGTTGCTCTTGTTTCTGGGATGGCCCTGAGTAAGCACAGTGCTATGGTCGAGTCTTCAAAAATAAGACTTCAAAAGAGAATTGGAATGTCTAATTATTTTGTGATGGCTCTTAAAGTTTCCTCTAATCACAAAATATTGAAGGCAAGTACCTTGTTTCATTGGCGATTTCTCAAATCGATGCCTCGTCACTATTGTTTAAGACAATTTCTGGGAACAGTCAAAACCTTCCTAGCAGCAAAAAAACACAAGTCGGGTTGCTGTGAGTTTTCCATGCTGTATGACCATGTTCAAGAAGAATTCCACATCTATAGCAGGCATCCTCAGAGGTTGTAAGGTCTGTTGAAAGCTAGGCAAGTGAGGTTTATATATCTATGGAATAATGTCCAGGGTGGGAGACAGAACTCTTGTCTGTTTGAGGCAAGTGTGAATGTTGCTGTTGGCAACCTTGATTAGCATTTAGTGGCCTTGCAACTTCAAAGCCTGGCTGGTTGCTTCCTGGGGAGATCCTTTGTTGGGAGGTGTTCGCTGGCCTTGATTGATTCTTGCCTGGAATTTCACTGCTTTTTGAGTGTTGCTATTACATATATTAACCCTACTTGCCTAGTTTCCAACAGACCTCACCTCTGAGGATGCCTGCCATAGATGGGGATGAAACATCAGGAGATAATGCTTCTGGATCATGGGCATGCAGCCCGAAAAACTCACAGCAACCTAGTGATTCCAGCCATGAAAGCCTTTGACAACACATAAAACATAAGTTGTTTTTAAAGTCATAGAAAGGAGATGAGATAGTAAAACGGGTGCACAATAATTTCATCCTGTCAGCTGCATACAATATCAGCACAGTATGCAAACTATTATACACACACATGCTCACACATACCCACTGTGACTAGGAAGGTATTAGGAGGTCAATACCTTTCCTGCCTTTGGAGATATAGAGATATAGAGATTGCTGGATCTATAGATCTACCCCCACCCCCCAGGTCCCTTCTACTCTACCATATAATCAGATACCCAAATCAGATAAGCCACATTAACTGCTTTGAACTGGGTTCTACACTGCTGTGTATTCCAGTTCAAAGCTGATAATCTGGATTTTATATAGAAGTGTAAAAGGGGCCTCAGAGACAGGAAAGCAATGCTGCTCCTTTCAGCTAGATGAAAAATCAGTAATACTTCTTCAGTTTCAAGGTTGCATAGGGATTGACCAAAGGTGCATCTATACTGTGCAGTTAATGCAGTTTGACACCGCTGTAATTGCCATGGGTCAATGCAATGAAATCATGGGAGCTGTAGTGGCACTGAACTGCTGATCTGAAGGTCAGCGGTTTGAATCTTTGAGACAGGTTGAGCTTCCATCTATCAGCTCCAGCTTCCCATATGGGGACATGAGAGAAGCCTCCCAAAGGATGGCAACACATCCATGCATCCCCTGGGCAACGTCCTCGGCCAATTCTGTCACCAGAAGTGACTTGCAGTATATGCTCAAGTTGTATCTGACACCGTTTTAAAAAAGGGGAGTTGTAGTTTTATGAGGTCTTCAGCCTTCTCTGTTGAAGAGTGATGGTACAGAATCAGTCCCTGGAATGTGTTCTCACAAGTTATGCACCACTATTGTACTAACCAGTGTATGTTGTATAAATAAATTCCAGAGTTTAACTGTGCACCATGTGAAGAATTATTTTGTCCCCTTCTGTCCACTTTTATTTGCCACCTGGATATTACTCTATTTACAAAATAGAACTACTCAAGGCTTTCTCTGAAAGTGTATAGAAAAAATAGCCTGAAGTCAATTATGATTAACTTTGCAGAAGGGTATTTCCTTTTTTTAGAAGTTACTCACACATATCTTTAGCTTTATTTCAATTAGATTTATTATTCAACCCACTTTGAAGGCCCATTAAATCAATGTAAATGATAAAACATCACAAAACGTTGAAACTATCTTAATTCCTGCTCAAAACTAGATGTTCATGGGCAACTGAGATATATAGTGATATGAGGATTTGTGTTGGCAGACCTGGATAGAGAATTACATACCGTATTTCCAAAATACTGGTTTTCTGAGCCCTTTCTGGAGGTGCTGAGAATAGAATCGTGGTCAAATTATGTAACCTACCACTTTTATTCAAAACCTATCTGTGTCATAACCCCATATGCACAACATGGCGGATTTCGCAGACTGGCTTCCACCTGGCAGTAGTAGCATACAAAGGCTTCACAATGCTGGGATTTACTTGCAATGAAGAAAGCTTTGGCAGCAATCTATATTTCCCTTCTCCCTCCTGAGGTCAATGGCACTTTGCAAATTGTTTTCACAAAGCTAGATTTATTTGCCCAGATGGAGCTAGATATAATAGTTCCTTTCCCTCTTTCACATTTCACTGAACAAGCCAGGGCCCTTGGACATCATGGTTTTTCCATTCTCATCTCAATTCCCATGAAGGGATCCCCATGAGATTATACTGTGTGCATAGCGCTGACATAAATTTATGAAGTGAATTCAAGCATACATAGAAATTCACTTCCTGTAATCAATAGCATGCATACTTGTCTCCAATCACACAAAAAAATTAAAGATGGTATTGGCAGGCCAGTATACCCTCAAGGCACCAGATCCCATCAGATCTTGGAAGCTAAACAGGGTTAGCTCTGGTTAGAACTTGGATGGGAGGCCCACAACAAAATCCAGGTGCTCTAATATCAGGCAGCTCTTGGGTTGAACCTAATCCTAACTGCACCATTGTGTTAGCTTTCTTCAAAATCTATGCATTTAGTTGTAATAGCATCACTATTATTTGGGAGCATTTGTATTAGCTCATGATGAGTAGGCTTTTGGACTGTTCTGACATTCTGCCATTGACGACTAAAATGATCAAGGGTCTGGAGAACAAGCCCTATGAGGAGCAGCTTAGGGAACTGGGCATGTTTAGCCTGAAGAAGAGAAGGCTGAGAGGAGATATGATAGCCATGTATAAATATGTGAGAGGAAGCCACAGGGAGGAGGGAGCAAGCTTGTTTTCTGCTTCCTTGGAGACTAGGACGCGGAACAATGGCTTCAAACTACAAGAGAGGAGATTCCATCTGAACATTAGGAAGAACTTCCTGACTGTGAGAGCCGTTCAGCAGTGGAACTCTCTGCCCCGGAGTGTGGTGGAGGCTCCTTCTTTGGAAGCTTTTAAGCAGAGGCCATTTGTCAGGGGTGATTTGAATGCAATATTCCTGCTTCTTGGCAGGGGGTTGGACTGGATGGCCCATGAGGTCTCTTCCAACTCTTTGATTCTATGATTCTATGATTCACCAAAGACTGTCAAGTAACAATGAGCTTAATCTCCTTTCTTAACTTGGCAGTTGTATTAAAAATGTGTTATTTTTTTCAAGGAGCATAAAGCCTAATACATTTTTAATTCCTGTTTTAGGTAGCTGAACTGGTAACCAGCGAGTTCTTTGAGCAAGGAGATAGAGAAAGATCGGAGCTCAAACTTACACCTTCTGTAAGTCTCGATTCTTAATGTATTTTATTCATTTTATCATTGTAAAAGGGAAAATACAAATCTGAGGAAATTCAAAAGCAAGGAAAAAGAAAACAATGCCCCCCAAACAGAATGAATACAATTATTAAAATAGTGTTTTCTGTTTCTTTATATAATAATAAAACATTATTTATTTACAATATTTATAGCCCGCCTTTCTTTGCTATATGGCAACTCAGTAACAATCAGTAATAATAACATATTGAAAATAGATACTTCTTCAATTCAAAGAACATCAATATAGGTTTCATAAAAATATAAATGAATAAGTGAAAAAGATCCGAATAGATAAGATTACATTTTAGGCAGTAAACATTTATTTAGTCGTAAGTTTTATCATGCTGCTTCATTTGACATCAGTAAATTCAATTTTTCAGGGTATGTTGTTTGAACCAGAGATAACCAGACCCCTAGATGCAAGTACACTTTCAACATTGGTTAGACATTTTATTTTTCTATCTGTGTTGTTCAGCACATTTTACCTGAAACAATAGGTAAATAAAGTATTCATTAACAACTAATTTTGTCACAATGGGACAGAGCTTGCTTTTTTTAGACTGCAGCTTCCTGAATCCGCTAACTATGATGTGTTGCAAAAGCAGATTCCCAGATTAGTTTAGTGTTTACACCTTATTTTATTTTTCTGGTTATTTAATGTATATTTGACTTAAGTGATATTTGTCTTTACTGTTCTAATGTAGCACAAATCCTATGTAAAATCATACTACATATTTTTGACATTAATATTGAAATCTGAAATATATATAGAAAGTCTTTACTTTCAAGGGTGATATTGAGAACTACAGTCCAAGGAGTCCATAAGTGAGCCAAAATAAAAGCAAATGGAAGTAAGTGCTAGAGGTTTGCAATAAAGGGACTGGTGTCCAGTGAAAGAACCCTCAGCTCACATCCTGACTTGCCCAAGAAAAAAGAACAGTTGATTAATATTTTACAGGAGATCCTTTGTGTCAGCTGCTATGCTATTCCAAGATTTTTCAGGCAGTGTCCTTTGACATCTTATGGCTCCTTTTAATATACCTGGCCTAAGGGTTTATTAGGCCAGGTATGCTCTTCCTCCAAACAATAAGAGCATGAAGCGTACAAATGAGTATTTTTTGTTTCTAGTGTTTCCTAATTTTCCTAGTATGACAGGGTTTGGGAGAAAAACAGGTTGCAAATGCTGGTGGATAACGGTGATCTCCAAATTCAGTTTCTGCAAACTTCAAGCATAGTGCTACTAGATAATTTTGGATCCTAAATATATTCATCTTATGATGAACCCATTTAGATGGTCATACTTCAATTGCAAAGCATGTGACTGACATCTCTCTTTCCCTCCATTGTCTTCCACATTTTAAATTCACTTACAAGGGTACAGGGGATGAACCCCAAATTCTACCTAAAATATACTGAGTTCAACTATTTTGATGCTATAGTATAACCACCAGTGTTTTAAGAAATGAATCTTATGCTGCAATATTATAAATATATACTTCAGTTAATGACATAGATGTTTTCCTGAGCATTACTTCTCTAATGGAAAATTTGGTGCCAGGAGTAGCAACGTTCCTGTACAACAAAAATAATTCAAAACAGTTTATCAAACCTTTAGCCCAAAGCTAACAATATGTTCATGTGAAATGAAACAACCAGTTTGCGTCAGCTTTGCATAAGCAAGCAAAAACACTTTGAACCCCTAGAGACAACTATATATACACACACACACACATACATATATGCTGTTTTACACTATATATATATATATATATATATATATATATATATATATATATACACACACACACACATATACTTGTCTTTCATTAGACTTTATTTCTTATGGTTTCCATTTTGTTAGCCAAATATATAGATTTATTCATCTTTGACATGCTTGTGGGTTGAGACAAGCTTATCTGCTTCCTCCTCCCACCCTGGGCCTATTTTGCTATTCACACATGCTAAGTAAGAGATCCTGGTAGCAGCTGCTGTTGGCCTTGCCTTTTGTAAGCAGGCACTAACAGCTGTAGTAGGAATAGTGCAGCAGAGCTCCATTCTTGCCCAACAAAAGCTTTTACTACATGATTCTTTGCAGACACTGTTGCAGCCCAACACTGAAGATCGTGCGCTACAATATTTCTTCACTTACCTTCCAATGTTGCTACTGCTAAAAAAAGTACAGTTAGACAAAGAGGGAAGGAATTAATGGGCAGGTATAAAACAGAGCTTCTTTGTCAGAGACTTTGCTGAGGTATGCCTGTATTCATTTACTTAGGAGTAGGTCCCATTAAAGGCTGCACTGCATTGCCCTCTGCTAGATGAAGTGATCATTGGCAGAAGAATTATATGCCTTGAGTGTCTTTGTAATCTCCCCATTCTACTGCTCCCCTCCAACTTTGGCAACATGACTACCAACAATATATAGTGTATTTGTTCAGCATAAAGGAATTACATGGTTATAACAGTCAAATAAATTAAACACACATATGCCATAAACAGCTTCAGAGAATAAATGCTTTATTTTTCATCCGGGGCAAAAAAACAGGGGAGTGTGTGTAAAGATTGATTGTAGTTTTCAAAGTGTTTGGTTTGTAACAAGTTGCTCTTAGATCCAAAGTGCTGGATGAAACAGCCTCAGTAAAATACTCCAGAGCCATAAAGCATGACATATTCTTCCTCTCCTTCCTTTCTCTCCCACCCCCCAAAAAACCATTTCAATTCAGGCTATTTTTGATCGGAACAGGAAAGATGAACTGCCTCGATTGCAGCTGGAATGGATTGATAGCATCTGCATGCCTCTCTATCAGGTAATTTTACGTATTGCTGCTACAGTATTGGAAGATTGGCTCGCTTTGCCTCCCTGTACAAGAGGGAAAGAGAGATGTGATGTAACAGCTTTCTGGGAGGTTTCAGGCTTTGTATCTGGGCAATTTGCTATGAACCCCATTCATAGCAAGCATCCTCACTACCTCTGAGGATGCTTGCCATAGATGCAGGCGAAATGTCATGCAGGCCATATAGCCCGAAAAAACCTACAACAACCCAACTCCATTTATGTTGCTCATTTTGCAAGGAACAGAGAAGGAAACCAAAACATTTATAATAGGGTGAGATCCATGAATGCTGTTAATATCATGTCTAAGTAAGGAAGAACAATAACAAGATTGTCCCTACCACCCCCTTCCTACTCATAAAGCTTGCACACATATTGTCTTACAAGAGCCACAGTTGCTGATCCTTCTCCTTCTCCTCCTCCTCATTGTGGTCAACATGATGTTGATGTTGCAGTTTGATGGATTTATCAATATTTAAATACAACATAAACAACTTGGATGTTGCTTGTGAAACTTGTTGAGTTGGGTTATCCGAAACAGCTATCAAATATGTCAGGGGAAATCGGGTGTCCAAACAAAAAAGCATATAACTCCATAGGATTCTTCAACATGTTTTGTGGGGGCATGAGAGAGGAAAAGGGATAAGAGAGGGAGGGAGAGTGAGGGAGGGAGAGTGAAGGAGAGAAAGAGGGAGAGAGGAAGGAAGGAAGGAAAAAAGGAAAGAAGGAAGGAAGAGGAAGGGAGGAAGAGAGGGAGGGAGGAAGAGAGGGAGGAAATCATGGCACATTGGATTCTTCAACAAGTTTGGGGGGGGCATGAGAGAAGGAGGGAGAGAAAGAAGAGGGAAGGAAGGAAGGAAGAGAGGAAGGGAGGAGGGAAGGAAGGAAGGAAGGGAAGGAAAGGAAAGGAAAGGAAAGGAAAGGAAAGGAAAGGAAAGGAAAGGAAAGGAAAGGAAAGGAAAGGAAAGGAAAGGAAAGGAAAGAAAGAAAGAAAGAAAGAAAGAAAGAAAGAAAGAAAGAAAGACTTTTCAGAGGCTTGCGCATAAACGTTGGCTGTCTTTCCCTGAGTTCAATTCTAAATTGCATAAAGAAGGTGCAGTATATGATTACTAAAGATGAGAGTGATAAAGCTGAAGTTATGCCAGTGTTTGTTTTTAAATTAAAAATTATAATTGGTCATATCACAACCCTCTCTCAACATTAATTAACAGAACAGCAGTTGATGTTGCTGAAAACAATCATAGCGAAAGAAAAATGCATCAAAAACCTTGGGAAGATTTTTTAAAATCTGCCTGGTGCCCAAAACACATTATATAGACATTGGCATCATTGACAGTGAGCTTTCCTGGAGAGAAAATTCCTTAACCAGGAAAATTGCCTGATAGGTCTCTTATTAAGATAAGGGCCATATCACCTCAGGCATTTGGAATTGGACCTCATGGTAAATTTTTATTTAGCTGCATAAATCAGCAAGTGGATTGTTATGGGAAAGTGCCATTAGTACCTCAAGTAATAATAATCTCAGTGTCTTAATATAATTGTAATAATAATAATCCTAATATATTTAGTATACCAATTTTAATAATCAAGTATAATAATTATAGCTTTAGAATTTCTTAATTACACACTTTTATAGAATGGAGGTTTTAGCCAGACTGCGAGACTTACATACTCATGAACTTCACAGAAAAATTCACAGCGAAGCATAATTATCGAGCAAACATTACAAAAGACAGTTTTACATCAACTATTAGCCACTAAATGGTTTTACTCTCATTATTTAAGATTTCAATCACACGCTGAAAGAAGTAGGAAACAAGTGAGGAGGAAATGTGGGGGAAAGTTCAGAACTAGTTGATTAAATCATGCAATATCTATTAGACCAGAATTTTTGGTTTGTCGGAGCTAGCATTTTCAACCAGGAAGGGTAAGTTAAATGTCTAAGCAGGCATCTGCACTGTAGAATTAATGTATTTTGGCACCACCTTAACTACCATGGCTCAATGCTATGGATCCTGATAGTTGTAGATTTACAAGGTCTTTAGCCTTTTCTGCCAAAAAGTGTTGGTGTCTCACCAAACTATAAATCACAGGATTCCATAGTATTGAGCCATGGCAGTTGAAGTGGTGTCAAACTGCATTAATTCTGTCATGAAGATACATACTAAGAAGGAAAAAAATGTCTGGTGTCTGTGTTGCATGCAGATTGAATAGGAACATGAAGAGTATCTCTTTGCTTCATATTTGTCGGAGAACAATGGAGAAAAGAAGCACATCTAAACATTTCCTCTCTTCCACACTTCTGCCCACTTTGCTCATGTTGTGCAACTATAGCCCTGCTGCTCGACCTGGTTTTTTTTAAGGCATTGTAAAAAAACAAACACCCTTCTACTTAATGCCATGCCAGCCTAAGGGGTAAACAGAAGACTTGATGTCACAAAGTCTCACAGAGGGAAAGAGATGCTCCCTGAAATATAAAGCTGAGTTTTAATTTCCAGTGCAGACATTGCATCAATGATGCGTGGAGACACTGTAAATCGCATTTACACATGGCTAAGAAACCAACACAGGGGCTTCATGCTACACAAATATCCCAGATTCCAGGTTCCCTCTCCCCAACCACCACATTCTTTTGTGAAGGATAATAAATTTTCCAGATCTCACAAGACAGAATATAATGGTTATGGCAGCAGGGAATGTAGTGTTAGTGCAGAATTTGGTTTCTTCCAATACTATCCCCTCATAATTTCAGAGACTTGCTTGCACACTTAGGTGCCTGTTGATTACCTAGACTCTAGACCATTGCTACTTAAACTGTGGGTCCCAATCCCAAATGGGATCCCCTAGCTCAATGCTGGGGCCATGAAAATTTGGCAACTGTAAAAGGTTTGTGAATGAAAGGCATTTCCACAAACCTTTTAGCAACAACATGCAGTGTCTACAGTAAACTGCAGAAAATGTTTCAGCTTCGTGCTCCACAAAAAGGAAAATCTGCATGTTTAGCAAATACTTATTTCTAAATATTTGATTTTATACCTTTTTTGTGTCAGGAGCGACTTGAGAAACAGCAAGTCGCCTCTGGTGTGAGAGAATTGACCGTCTGCAAGGACATTTCCAGGGGACACCCAGATGTTTTGATATTTTACCATCCTTGTCGGAGATTTCTCTCATGTCCCTGCATAGGGAGCTAGAGCTGACAGAGGGAGTTCAATCCATTCTCCTCAGATTTGAACCACTGACTTTTTGGTCAGGAGTCCTGCCGGCACAAGGGTTTAACCCACTGTGCCACCAGGGGCTCTTATACCTATGTTATATACCTACATACCTGGGGTCATGTAAAAATTGCTCAAGCCAATAGGGATCACAAGTGGAAAAGGTTTAAGAAGCCCTGGTCTATACCATCAGTGGCAACTGCAAATTTCATTCTCTTTTTCCTGCTCATCTATATTCTGACAGCCCTTTCTTCCTTCTTGTCCATAATATTTACCAAGTGGGTCTTACCTACATGGTAAAGGTGGCACCTCATGTTCAAAGTGGCCACCAAAAATGTCCCTTGTTTCTTTCTCTCTGGTGGCTTTCTAGAATGACAATGTAGATTCACCAAATTATTCAGTGTAGCCTGAATCAATTAACACGCATGGTTTAACGCAGCCCTTCAGATTTGTGGTTATTCACCCCCTAGCTATGCCAGTTAAGGATGGTGGGAATGTTAGCCCAAGAGCATTTGTCCTTTTTAAATGAAAATAACTCCAGGTTTCTGAATGTATATACACACCAAATTCAATTTAGATACACTTCATTGATCTGATTAATTAGACTCTGTGAAAGAATACACCATCATCTTTGAGGTGCCATAAAACTTTCTGTTCTTTTTTGAAAAATAAATCATTTTTCAAAAATAAATACATTATCCAACAATATTTTATTGAACCAATCATTTGGTACGTATTTTTGTTACAATTTTAAAACTATGTTCAAGTGGTAGAGTTATTGAACATAATTTTTTTAAAAATGAGCTCCACTGGATTATATTTTAACATGTTAAATATATATGTGAAAACTGTGGTGTAATGTAAAATAAACCACGTGTAGTTCACGTTTGATCAGCCCATACACTGCCTTGCCAGAGGAAAAAAATATGCCTCACAGATTAACAGTAAAGAACAAGTAGTTTACTCTTTGTAATTCAGACAATGTATTTACAATCATGTGATCAATTACATCGACTCACATAATGTTCTTTCTTTGTCTATGTGGAGAAACTCCTTCCAGCATCTCATGAAGCAAGAGTACACTCTAAACTGTCTCTCTCTGCTTCTCTCTCTGCTTCTCTGTGAGCACCTGCGTAGCTCAAGCCTGAAAAATGTCATAGTATCCAAAAGTCCCAGGCTCAGCCAGCTCCCTGGTCATAGCTCTACCAATCAGCTTCGTGCATCTTATTTTACAGTTGACACACACACACTAACTGATTTTTTGCATGCTCCAACAAAAACTACTACAGCATAAGCTCCCTGTTTTGAATATCCGTTTTGCATTCTTACCTTTCCCCCCTCCCCCTTTTCATTGCCTTTATTTGCTAAAACTGCCTGTAATGAAAAGAACAATCTGTGGCTTCATGAGATGTGTGAGAATATTGATATATGTAGTTACTTTGATTGAACTATGAAAAGATGTCCTCCCTAGAACGCACCGTTAGTATGCGAATCTAAAGACCAAATTAAACTTTTAGTGACCAAGCCAAACATGACAATCTAGTCACTTCCAGATTGCTGCAGAGCAACATAGGAAGTTCACAGGTTGCTATATGGGAAATTGCTGGGTAGATGGAAGTGGGTGCTTCTCTCATCTAACTCTTTTCTGCAACAACATGTTTTCCAGCTACTTGTCCCTGTAATAAAGTAATTGTCAAACACAGTATGAGGGAGAATTTGTGGGGGGACTGCAAATGGGAATCTGTGAAGATAGGACATTTTT